ACCCCCCCCCCCCCCCCCCCCCCCCCGTCCATCACCCTCTTCCTTGCGTGGTTCATTTTTAGGGAACAAAGCGTATTGTCCCGGTACGAGACACAAAATGTATACAAGCCCACAAACAAATTTTCCTCCCATTTCCCACAACCCATCACCTCTCTTCCTTTTCACAATGGGTACGAACGAATTCACTGTGAGCCATGTCCCGCTACGCCTGCCCCCCCCCTCCTTGCGACCATAGACAACCAGTCCCTACGGCCACTCCCTCCCCCCCCCCCCCCCCCCCCTCCCACCCACAATCATAACATCTTCAACCCATACCACAAATACCCCCTTGTACCCTCCCCCACATACCTGTCCTCGTCATCACTCCCCACACCTCCACTAGCCCGCAGGCACCGAAGGAAATAGTGTCCAAAACAAAGCCGGCGACAGGAAAGCTGCTCAGTGGCGGAACGGCTGGTAACAACCCCAAAGACGGCCTGGGCCAAATGGCGCACACCATCATGCCAAACAAACGTTGCCCTCGTCAGCCTCATGCCCTCCCCGGGTTTTTTTTTCATTGGCGGCAGACCCAATCTGGGCCTATTGCTCTGGCACGTACCGAGGTCTGCAGAGATCATGGCGATACTCACACACACAAGGCCGGGGTGCGGTGGATGATAGCGGTGCCCGAGAGCGAGATGATGGACACTCTTCCGCTTCATCTTTTCCAGAACTCGCCTAACAACAAGGTTTGTTTTGATTGTCCGTCGGAAAAGGTGGTGAGCATTGTGATGGACTACGGCGTGTTTGTCTGCAAGCGGTGCGGTGCCCTGCACGCCAAGATGGGCCGCAAGACCAAGTCGGTCATGGCCCTGTTTACTCCCGACGAGATCCACTTCCTGGAGGGGCGAGGCAACACCGTCGGCCTGGCATTCATTCTTGCTCGGTGGCCCGAGGGCCAGGATCCGATCCCGCACTCGGACACCAAGGAGGTGGCCACGTTCATGCATGCAAAGTACACCCAGAAGCAGTACTGGAACGATGCTGCGCTGGCGCCGGCCGAGGAGGCGCAGCGTGCCGAGTACGCCGCGTTCAAGGCCGCCAAGCTGGAGGAGGACGTCCGGCGGGCCGACCAGCTTGCGCAGCAGGCGCGCCGCCGCAAGATCTCTGCCGAGGGCACCTCGTCCGGCGGTGCGTATGGCGTGGTGAAGAAGAACGCGGTGTCTCGGACCCGCGACTTTGGGCGGGTCTCGCGCGCCCGTGCCACCTCGATGTCGCAGGTCGCCGAGACCGTCATTGGCGCAGCCGAGGCCGGCAAAGTTGACCAGGTCCGCCAACTCATCGATCGCGGTGCCGACATCAACCAGCCGACCAAGTCAGGAACAACCGCCCTCCATCGCGCCGCCGCCAAGGGTCACATTGCCGTCGTCGAGCTCCTGCTCGACCGCGGTGCCTTTATGGAGGCTGCTGACCGCTGGGGCGACCGTCCGCTGCACAAGGCCGCGCACAACCTCCACCGCGACGTCATCGAATTGCTCCTCACCAAGGGCGCACTCTATCTCGTCACAAACGCCGACGGCCTCCGTCCGGACCAGATGGCCACAGATCCCGAAGTCAAGGCCCTGTTCCAGGCCGCCGCCGACAAGGCCGGCGTCCCGCTGGCCTCGGAGTCTGTCCCGCCGCTTGCGATGGCCCAATCGCGGCTCGGCCCGGCGGCTCGTCGCGGCCGCGCCCGGGCCGCAACCATTTCGGGAACCCAGCTCCCGCCGCGCTCGTCGTCGCTCCGCTCGTCGTCGCTGCATGCCGCGGATGCAAATGCCGCCAACCCATACTCGGGCTTTGAGGCCGTTGTACTCTTCGATTTTGCGCCGCAGTATGAGGCTGAGCTCGGCGTTTCGGCCGGCGACGTCATTGTCGTCGAGGACGAGCACCCGTCGACCGGCAAGGGTTGGTGGCTCGCCCGCAAGGGCCACGTTACTGGACTCGTTCCGGCCGCCTACTGCGAGATCAAGAACAAGAAGGGCCCGCACTTTGTGCGCTCACTTATTACGCCGGACACTCAGGTCGCCGGCCGCCCACCGGCACCGATGCCCACCGATGCCTCTGCACCCGATCTCCCACAGAGGCCGGCCAACTCGGTCCCGCTGGTCTCGCTCACCTCGCCGGCAGGCCAGACCACCGCCGCGCCGACAACAACCGCCCCACCCCGTGCGATCGGCCGACTCCGCTCAAACTCGGGCGGCAAGCGCGATCGTCCCCAGTCGATGTCGATGGCCGACTTTAACTGGGATGCCCTTGACGCCGCTACCGGCCCAGCGCCGGCCGCCGCCCTTAACGCCGCCTTTGGCGCTCCGGCCGCCAACGATCCGTTTGCTGCCGCCTTTGGCGCTCCGGCCCAGCCGGACGCCCAGCACCCGCAGCCGGCCGTCACGCCCTCACTCCCGCCGTCGCTCATTTGATGCTGGGATCCATAAAGTGCTACCTGCTGTGACACACATCCTGACTCACACCGCCGCCACGCCCGAGGTGATGGCAGCAAGGCCTGACGAAGCCGGCGCCCCGTCCTCGCCAACGGGAGCGTCCACGCCATCACTCGGCCCAGCATCTTGGCCGGCGTCGGTATACTCGGGCGCGTCGGCGTGCATGAGGAGAAACTCGACCCAAAGGTCAGAGAGGCCCTTGCCGCTTGCACTGGTGCCAGCAGAGCCTGCAGAGCCGCTGCTGGTCGGGCCAAACCACGACGAGATCCAGCCGGTGAGGCCGGCGCCTGCGCCGACTCCGATAGCCGCCTGCTGTTCTTCGTCCAGGTCGAGCATCGACGAGAGGACGCTCAGCACGCCCGCCTTTTCTGCATCGGCCTTGGTGAAGTATGTCACGAGGAGGTTGGCCACCAGAGCCTTGTCGATACGGGCGTCGCTGGCGGTGAGCGCCTGCTGTGCAGCCATCATTTTCTGCATCGACGCCTTGATTGCCACCAGCTCGTCCTGCACTGTGTGCAGTTCGGTGGTAGTGTGGCTGAGTCGGGCCTGAGTCCGGGCCCCGACCTCGCGGGCCTCGGCAAGCTCGCGCTGCAACACCGGGACCTGGTCCAGCTCGGCCTCGAGCGCAGCAACCTTGGCTTGGGCCGCAGTGAGCGCCTCGGTCGCCTCGTCGACCCGCGCAGCCACAAGCTCGTCCTGCGACTCTTGGAGCTGGTCGACAACCGAGACGAGGTTGCGGTTCTCGGTCGCCAGTCGCTCCACCTGAGCATTGAGCGTGCTCGCCTGCTCGCGGCTCGCCTCCAGCGCTGCCCGGGTTTCCTTGAGTTCAGCTGCCGTCGCCTCGTGGGTCTCGGACGACGCCCGCCCCTGTAGGTCGAGCTGGGCCCGGAGCGCCGCGAGCTCCTTGTCCGACGCGAGCACCTTGGCAGCGTGCCGCTCCTCCGACTCGATGAGGTGCGCCTTGAGTCGTTCGAGATCCTTACGCGCTTTGGCGTACGGCTCGGTGACTTCAGTCAGAGCTCTCTGGTGCGCCATCGCCATTTCGGTCCGCTCCATCTCGGCAGCGGCGAGTGCCTGCTTCTGCTTTTGAAGTTGGATCGAGAGCGCCTGCACATGGGCGCGCTCAGCCTCGAGCGCGTCTTTGGCACCGGCCTGGACGCGTGAATTTTCCAGCTCCGAACCCAGGCGCACGAGCTGTTGGCTGGCCTCCCGCAGTTCGTTCTCCAGCTCGGCCGCCCGCCCGGCCGCATGCTGTGCCTCCTCCAGCGCTCGCGCCTGCTCTGCCGTTGTGCCGCGGGCAGCAGCAAGCGCTGATTCGAGCTCTGAGATCCGCGCCGCACCTGCAGACCCCTCTTGCTGCACTGCCGCAAGCGTCGATTCGAGCTCAGAGACGCGTGCTGCAGCGGCCGCAGCTGCAGCCTGGGCGTGAGCAGCATCGTCGTCATTGCTCCGTGCTGCGGCAACGGCAGCCTCCAACTCGCGAATGCGCGAGGCAGCGGTCTCAGCTGCAGCCTGTGCCCGACTCTGTGTCTCGGCCAGCGCTCTGTCGGACGCCATAGCGGCCTCCCGCGACTCACGGGCCTGTGCTATCTTGGCATCGATGGTCGTGCGTGCAGCATCCAGCTCGAGAGCAAGCTTGGCGCGCGCATCCTCGGCGGCAGCTGCGGCCTGTTGCGCGACTTCGAGCCGTGAGCGAAGGGCAGCAAGCTCTGCATCGCGCTCTGACACGGCGGCGCGCTCGGAGGCGAGGCTATTGGCAGCAGCGACGCGTTCGTTGGCCAGCTCACGTTCTGCAGCGGCCACACGGTCGCGAGCGGCTGCGAGCGCCTCGTCGCGCTGGGCGAGGAGGCTTTGGGTCTGCTGCGAGGCATCGGCCCGGGCAGACGCCTCGGCTTGGGCCAGCTGATTGCGGAGCTCTTCGGCGTCGCGAGTAGCAGACGCCAGTTGAGCCTGGGCCTGTTGGACCTCGGCAGCAGCTGCATCGCGAGCCGCGGCAAGTTCCGCCGTGAGCTTGGCGTTGGTAGCGTTGAGCTCGACAATGACCGTGCGCATGCCCTCGACAGTACTCTCTGTCTGGTCGTGGACCTGTCGCGAGGAGTCAAGCTTTGCGACCAGCTTTGCGTTTTCGGCAGCCAGCGCATCGCGCTCGGCCACCACATGAGCCACGCACTGCTCGACCGAGGACAGCAGAGCTTCGCTGGGAGATTCGGTGTCGTGATCGCCAGCGGCGCCGCGTCCGATGACCGACGTCTCGTGGGTGAGCTGTGCCACCAGCTGCTCTTGCTGGACGCGAAAAACGTCGAGCTGGGCGGTGGCGCGCTCGAGTGCGGTCCGCAGCTCCTCGTTGCGAGTCATGAGGTCTTGGCTCGGCTGGGCCGGGACAGCCGGTTCCTTGACCGCCTGTGCCATACGCTTGTACATGTCGCGTTCCTCGCGGATCTCGATCAGCGCATCCTCCAGCTCCTCGATGCGCGCCTCGAGGCTGGCGACCGAGTCATTGGCGGCCGGGGCGGCGCCTCCAGCCACCGCCACTTGGAAGGCGGCAACGCTCGGCTGCGAACCTGCGGTCCGAGCCTCGTTTAGCTGCGCAGTGAGGCTCTGGATGTGACTGTCCTTTGACGACACGATGTCTGCCAGCTCGTGGCGCGAGTGCTCCAGCTCGCGCCGGAGACCAGTAGCCTCGTCTTCCAGCGACGCCACCAACTTGCGGGTCTGTGCCAGCTGATCGCGGTGCTGGGCAAGAGCACCCTCGAGCACCTTGACCTTACCTTCAGCCGAGAGCCCGACGCCTGAACCCGAGCCAGCACCGGCTCGGATCCGGTGACCATGAATCGGCGGAGCTGACGCCGACGCCGATGCCGTCGATGACGCCGACGCCGATGCCGACGTCGGACCCGACGCCGATGCCGGAGACGCTAGCGACGGCGAGAGACGTGGCGAGCCTGGACGAGAGATATCCTCCACCGTTGTCTCATACACCTCCTCCTGGACCTCTAGCAACAGATCTTTGGTCAACTCGCCCGCTTGTTCCGCATACGTGCTCTACATCCGTACCATGATGCCGACCAGGGAGAGAGTGAGCGCATTCAGGCGAGAAAGGAGAAGGGGGGCACCCCATACGTACTCGGGCTCGGTTTAGCCATGCAGCAGCCAGCAGCCACACCGATGACTGCAAGCAGGTAACAGTCCCATGATGCCACACCACGCCCTTCCCTTGTCCCCCCCCCCG